TAATATGCAGTTATTGCAAGGGTGGGCCTAGCCTTGTACCAAACAGGTGGTCTGTCCTGGGATCTAAAAACCTGCAAATTGCAAGAGGCTCTTGGAGATATTTCTCATGTTTCTGTTGATACTGAGCTGAGATATTGTCATCTGCATGCCATTGAATATCTGCTGAATGTAGAAGAAGCACAAACTGGAGTTAGAGGTAGCTGCCATCTGTTTATCCAAGAAGCCCTGTCTTTTTAGAAGTTGTGAATGAAGTAGCATTTATAGGCTATACTGGGTGGATGTACGTCTGTAAGTGTTAAATAACACTTCTCAGACATTGTGAACATCTATTCTTGTGCTTCTTGTAGCGCATAGTTGGATCTTTTCCTTGTCTGAGAAAATGTCTGAGCATGGGGCTGGGTTGTGAGGGGGGTGTCTGGGTGGTGCAGAGGGGCCTGGGTGTCTCGTCATTGTTTGATTTACAGTGTGTGTTGCATGTGGGGCTGCTAATGGGAGAGAACACATCCCTGTTTATCAGAAGGTATTTCATGTAAGGCAAGTGTGGTGGTTTTCTTTTGTTTTTAAAATTTTTTAAACTGCTGAGGTGTTTTTTTTTTTTTTTTTTTTTTTTTTTTTTTTTTTTTTTGAGTCCAATATTGAATAACTTGGAAATTGTGCAACCAACCCGGGGTTGCTAAGTTGAGATGTTATTTTTTTCCAGACTGTCATGCAAATTAGCAATGATAATATGATGGGCTTTCAGCCATTCAAAATGTAAATCAAAACTCAAAATTCACAAAGTACTGTCTAGCGCTGATAATCCACATCAGCAGGGCTCATTCACTATCTATTTCCAGGATTATTTGTTTTGCTGCTCTGAAATGTTAAGTGTTTACATCAAGATTCTGAGCTAAACACATAATTTTTGGCTAGAGTCCTGAAACGTCTGTGTTTCACTTTAAGGCGTCTTTCTGTAAAAATCAATGTAAATGTAAATATCACATGTTTAAAACGCGAGATGCTTCACCATATTTACCTAGGTAAATAACACCACCGTTCCCTAATTGTTGAGCAATGAGTCCTCTGGAGAATTCAACTGCTTTCAAATAATCTGATTAAGCTGACTGAGTTAAATACTTTCAGGCACACAACTCACTTTTTCATTCTGCTTTCATCTAAACTACGTTTACAGTAACTTTTGAATGCTTCCAGGGAAACCCTTTTAGGTCATCCTGGCATTGCTTGGCTAGTGTTGTAAACTGGCACTGTGCAGATCTCTGTGTGGATCCCGTAAAGTGGGAATGGGTGCATGCCATAGGGGATTTGTGCCTTTGGTTCTTTGGTTCCCTGCCAACCATCCAGCCGTTACATCTGGGAGCCCTATTGGAAGCGCTTCACTGTGGCCACGCGGCGTCTTAGTCGGCAATACCAGCTCTCTGAAACGGTGGAATTAGCCTGGGCGCTCAAAAGCAGGTGATATATATTTTTTTGTGTATGTGCGTGGCTTCTGCTGGAGGCAAGTTCTGAGTTCCAGAACATTATGTGTGTTCTACTGTGTCTCAGAGAAATATTTCTTTTTATTTAATATAGGAGTCGAAACCAGTTAATGAAAAACCCAGAGGTAGAAGCCCGAAGCCAGCAGAATCCTCTTCGCAGCCACCCAAACATCCTTTCCAGCTGGCCAATATTTATGAATATTATGATGCAGGGAGCCATTGGTGCAAGGACTGCAATACCATCTGTGGGACCATGTTTGACTTTTTCACACACATGCACAATAAGAAACATAGACAGGTATGTGCCAGGCTTCATTCACTAAGTGTGTTCCATATTCTAATAAAGATTAACACTAAAACATACATCACAGAAGTACATTTTACAAGAGAGACTGAAGTAGTAATGAACTCAAGAAGCTGCTTTTCAGAAAATTCTTGTTCCCTAATGTAGGACTTCAGCAATTTGTACAGCTACCAGAGTGTGTTGACTAGTGTAAATGGGGCTTTTGTGTTCAGTGTTCAGTTCACTTTGGACCTGGTATTTGAGATTTTTCTTTCATATAGTACCTGGACTTTGATCTCATTCATATTTTATCTTTTCACAGGTTATTTTCTTATTATAAATTTCAAAACGGGGAGGGGAAGGAGAGTAAAACATAGTTCTTGTAAATATTTGCACTTTTTTTTTTTAATGCTCAGTGTCCTAAAAGGGTGTTAAAAAGAAAAACAAGTGCATTTGCCTTGTTAGTGTAATGTATGAGCCTGTATACCTCTGTCACTGTGCAAATAGACCCTGGATCCTTACAACAGACCTTGGGCTTTGAAGACCCAGAGTGAGACCAAGCAAGACTCCATAAAACGCATTGATAAGATAACTGTTCCTGCCAAAGGTAGGTTACTTTTTTTTTTTTTCTTTCCTCCACCTGAGTATCTTCTCCCTTTGCCCTCCAGCAGGTTCCAGTTGCTCAGAGAATGAAACTACTTTGTACCTTATTAGGTACCTTATTATTAAGCGAATGGCCAGTGATTTAATTTCCTGGCTGTTCTTATGAAAAGGTCATGGATTGAGAGAGTAGGGAAAACAGTTTGTCATCTTTTCCTTCTAGTTTTGGGTTTTGCTTTGACTGCTAGGCATTTTTTTTTTCTTCAGTGTGATTCTGAAGCAATTTTGGCTAACATAGTAGGATTCAGGATAAGACCATAAAGGTTTAGCATGGTCAGGCAGGTATTATGCAGTACTTCATATAGTCTGCAACAGACTCTTCCTTTCAATGCATTTTCCATAGAAGTATCCCTTCAGTGCTGTGTACTGGGTAGCCTCTGTGAGTAAAGAGAATCTAAGAAGGTCATGAGAAAGGAGCCGTGAGAGATTAGGGAATTCATATAAGATTACAAATCTGACTGAGCATAATCAGGCCTGCCAGTGATCAGTCTTTGGTCATTAATCACTATAAATTCAGATCGCTAATCTAGGTTTCTGTAGACAAATGGATGCAATCTGCTAAACTTCAATGAGATTGCAGGTGCATTGCTTTTTTTTATAACCAGGTGTTTAATATTTGAGCAGACTGCACCACAAAACAGAAAATACATAGAGATGGTAGGAACTATTAACCTGCTTGAATAGAGGATAGTCTTAAGAAGATGGAAGCACTAAGAATATGTTTTTGGGCCGTAATAACTAGGCTTCTTCATTTTATGTATTTTGTCCTGTACTGGTGATTGTCATCCTGGAAACAAAGGAGAGCAGTATTACCCATTCCAAAAGCATGAACATTGCTGGAGGTTTTGCTGTTGTTATTTGATATGTTTATTTGGCTTTATTAAAAGCTTCTCTTTTATTACATTCTGTTTCTCTGATTGTTTTTATTTGGCCATTTCAGGCTCTGAGTTTCTGATTCCTATCACTGGATATTATTGTCAGCTGTGTCATGAGTTTTTTGGAGATCAGATCTCAGCAGAACAGCATGTGAAAAGTCATCCTCACAATGAGAAATACAAGGTTGGTACCTGGGGTATCAGGAGTGAGATGATGTTCTTGTTGGCTTATACTTCTGTCTGTCTTCCTTTCCCTCTTAGGAATTACGTTTGACTGCTCAGCATATGAATATTTGGCTGTGTTCTCTGTCTTGGAGTGAACGAGCTAAGCAGAGCTTACACTACACAGAGACTTATCTTTAATCCGTACAAAGTTCAAACTGGGTTTAAGTCCCACTGTTGATTTTTCCAACTCTTTGGTAGAGTGACAGCACTGTTCCAAGCCACCACTTGACATTAGATCACAAAATGTGGGGTTTTCAGCACGTCTCTTTCTTGGTTGGAAGAAGTTCCTTGTTCTCTTAGTGTTGAAAAGGAATTTCTGTAATAAGTCAAAATTGTTCTAGAGCTGTGTTTTGTTTTGTTTTCCTTTTCCTTTTGAGAAACAGTGGCTCAGACTGTGCCATTTATTTCCACAGAAATACATAGATGAAAACCCACTCTATGAAGAGAGGAGAAATCTAGACCGTCAAGCTGGATTGGCTGTAGTCCTGGAAACAGAGCGCAGGCGGCAGAGCGAGCTAAAGCGGAAGCTGGTTGAGAAGCAGAAGGAAGAGAAGGATGAGAAGAAAGCAAAAATAATAAAGAAAGAGGAAACAAAGAACATCCCAGAACTTGGAGAAGGCACTAGTGAAACTCAAGGAAAAATAGATTCTTCTGGGAAAAAAATGGGTATCAAGCTTAAACTGAAGAAGGAAGAGAAGGAGGAGAAAAAAGAAGAAAAGAAAGAGGAACCAAAAAAGGAAACACCAATTCAGTCTCCCTTTGGAAAATTCAGCTGGAAAAAGACAGAGGATAAAACCTCAGGAGCAGCTATATCAAAGGAGGAAAGTATAGAAGGGAACAAAGAAAAGGAGGAGAACAAGTGTCTGCCTGCAAAACTGCATGCCAAGCCTATTGAAATCAAGCTGTCTGGGAAAACTGTTATTCCACACACTAGTTCATGGACACCAGTTGTTCCCACACCAATACAGGCAAAATTTTTACCCAATCTACCAGTCCCCACCATGATTTTCAGGAAATCTGCTATTGCGTCAGTAAGCAAACCAGCACCTTTGAACACCTTCTTATCTATAAAATCCTCTGGAGCTACCACCAAACCACTGCCAGTGGTAAAAGAAAACAGTGCAGATCCTCTGCTGCCTCCCGATATCATCTCAAAAGCTTTTGGTGGAGAAGAGGTGATTTTAAAAGGGACAGAGGAGAATTTGAAAGCAGCAGAGAAAAATGAGTCTCCTCAGACTTCTGACATCCCACCTCCACCCCCTCCTCCCCCAGCAGTCCAGCAGGCAGCTGTTATCCCTGCAGATGAGGTAGCTCCAGGTGTGTCCGAGAGTGAACAGACGATGCTGGCGATGCCCGTGAGACCCCCTCCTCCCCCACCACCTACTGTCTTTAACGAGCAGGCAAAAAAAGTAGAGAAACGAAACTCTTGCTTGGCCACAGCCAATGCAAAAGATCTCTATGACATTTTCTACAGTAGTGGTGGAAAGGGGTCAGCTGAGAGCAAGCTTGGGAATTCAGCACTTCCAAATGGAGAAAACTCTAACCTAGCAAAACCTGCAGACTCACTTGCAATTTCTAGAACAAGTAATAGCTCGTACTCCCTGAAAGACGATTCCCAGAATGCAGCTACTGAGTTTAGCCAAGTTCACTCAGCCGAGAGAAGCTTGGAATTGGAGAAAATTGAAATCCAGGAGACTTCAGTACTTAATAGTGAGATGAGCCCTGATGCTGAAAATGGTATTCAGGAGACCCTAGGTCAGAAATCACAGTCTCCTCTTTCAACAGATGTTCGGATTAAATTGAAAGAGGAGAGTTCCTCACAGTGCAGTAATCAGGTAAAAGGGAGTTGGATTCCTGATGAGAATCAAGCAGAAGTGAGCAAGAAGCCACTCCAGCTACAAAGACCAGAAATGTCAGTCACAGAACGGCCAGAAAAAAAACCTGATTCTGGTATTCAGATGTCTGCAGAAACGGTACTTGTGGATAAAGCAGGTGGAGAGAAAGTTGTCAGTCAGGAGTTCTGTGATACGTGTATGACAGAGGTCCAAGGGGAAGGTGGACAGGGAGATGCAAATAATACTGTAGTTACTAAAACAAATATTCCTGGTACCTTGAAGAAAGATGCAGAGATGAAGGACCAGCAAGCTAAAAAAGTAAAATCTGAGCTTAGCTTAGAGCACCCAAAGACTGTGTTGCCTGAAACACAGAACAAAATTAAAAGTCTGGCAGATTTGCATTTGGCAAAGGAAAAGTTAAGAGAAAGTTGTAGAACCAATTCAGAAACTGACAGTCCAGGCTTGCTCAGTGGTTCTCAAAACTCATCAGAAAAAAAAGCTTTAGTAGCATCAATGGCAGAGCAGAATTCTGCTGATGCCTCCTTAAAAGATGTAAAAGTGCAGAGTGTCGCTTTGGAAGTATCTCAGTCCAAAGCCCTTGGTGAAGGTCCCCAGATTTCAGAAATCCCAAATAAGGTTTTAGAATTGACAACAAGCTCAGGTGAACTGGACACTAGAACTAGTAATAGTGAACAGGTCATCATGGCCACTTCTTGTGAAAGTAGTTGGGAGCTATCACATACTCCAAATGTAGAAATAAAGACTAATTCTAATGAACTCAGTGCTTCAGAATTGACAGTGATACAGCCAGACATACATCTGACCACAAGAGAAACGACTCGTAATAAATTAGACGTACAAGGAAAGGTTAGATGTGAACCTTCAGGCCATGCAGTATTAGGTAGCCAAACTCAAAAGGAGGAAGTCTCATGGTTACTCAAGTCATGCACAGCAAACATTGTTGAACTCAGATCCAGTGTGGAGTTAGTAGTTGAAGTTGGAAAAAAGTCATTGGGACACACTGGATCTGATACAGTGTTAGGTGATGTTCTTGTCAAAAAGGATGCAAAAAAAGTAGGGGCTTTAGGCTTTTCTAAAGCTCGCTCTGATGTCAATCAAGAGTCAGTAGTTGCTCTGTCAGCGGATTCCTGTACAGGGCATCTTTCTGAAGGAGCTATCCACCCCACAGAAATAAAGCATGAGGTTGTAAGAACCTCAGCAGACAACAGCTTTCATCTGAATACCACTCACTCAGGATTTAACACTGAGCAATCTGAAAGCATCTCACTAAATATCAGCGTGGGCGATGTGAAAGATTCCTTGAAATCAGAAGATGTGAAACATAATGAGGCTCCCTCACAGAAAGCAGAACTGGAGTTCAAAAGCGCTGATTTCTGTTTGGAAGATACTAAGGTAAAACTGGGCACTGAAAAAACAGTGGATGAAACGGACATTACTGATTTTGTTACATTAACCTCTGTTAATCAAAAAGATAAATCTTGCACCCTGGTTTCTAAAACAGCTGTGTCGCAGCTTGGATTGCAGTCCTCAAATAGAGCTACTACAGCAGAGGTCGTGCCAGTTCTAGAAACGCAGAGCACTTCTCCCGTGTCTGAGATTCTTTCATGTGTGGAGGAGAGCAAAGGTGGCACTGTTGAAATGTCTTCACTGAGCTGTGGTGGAGACCGTACGGAAAGTCAGGCTTCTGGGCATACGGAAACCTGCCTTCCTGGGCTTGAAGAAACACCGGGAAAAGAGGGTGGCTCAGAAGGCAAGGGAGGAGGCACCGTCCAGGGCAAGAAGACCAAGCAAACAGAAACTGCCGACAGTAGTTTGGAAGTTGCAACAAATTCAGGAATTGCTGAAAGCTTAGCAAAAAGCCCAGTGGGCTGAAATGAACCCAGCCAGCCCCAATATTTGAGGAGCCAGAGCTGGGATTATGTATATGGTTTTTGTTTTGTTCTTTTTTGTTTTGTTTCAGTTGATGGCTTCAGGTGTATATGGCATCCTGCAGGAGGACTCGGCTAAAGCGAAACATTTGTCATCAGAAACCAGACACACTTTATTCTGTACATAATTAATTGTGTAAAATGTTTTTTCATGTGAATTTTTTTTGCCAATTTCTTTTCTACACTCTGCTATTAAAATGGAATCTCTCATTTATAATGCGTGCGTCTTTGTTGTTTATTTTGGGGGCTTTTATTTTTTGTCAATTCTCGGACGATTTCCAGCTCACCCCGTTTCTGTCAGTATCATCACGACTAGCCTGGTCTCTGGAACAAGCTCAAGAACAGCAGCTCAGAACTTAAGGGAATGGAGACTCTTGCAGAAGAACTAAAACTGAAAATTTCTTTAAAATGTAATGCTTCCTTAAATATATATATATATATATTTAATTTTATTGTTTGAAATGCAAAAAGTATGATTAGAGGTTTGTTTTGTTTTTGTTTGGGTTGCTTTTATCTGTCTCTGTGATTTGTAATTACTGTTGTATTGCATCTGTGCTTAAGCTGTTTCATTGTACTGTATAAGCACATGTATGGATGCCACATCACTAAGCAAGGGGAGAAAAACTATCCTGCCTGGCTTTTGGAGAAGAAGACTAATCGGTAAGGCTCTGTGGCCTGACACCTGGACCAGACACATTGAGGTCACTTACATGATTTGATATGGGCTTTATTTCATTGTACTGTGATCCAGTAACTGTTTGTGTTAAATCATTTAGCAGCTGACCAGCTCTGGAGAAGCAGAAGATCAGAACCGTGGTGTCAGGACTTGGACTCGCTTCATGTGACACAGCACATGCATGCCTGCCCTGAACGGTCCTTGAGCTACTAAAAGCTCTGGTGTGATGGTTCTCATTTGTATAGCTTGTTAAAGACTAACGTATTAAATGTGTTTGCCTGGATAAATATAACATTTGTATTTGTAAATTGTTTAAAAAATAAACAATGGTGGTCAAAAAGGCTTTCCTTTGGATTTTCTTTCCCTTTTTTTTTTTTTTTTATTTTTTTTAACTCTAGGAAGGTGTTTTACTCCAATCAGCTTCTAAATCCTCTAGTAGCTGTTAAAATTGAGAAATGGTAGACAGTGAAGATCTTCAGGTGTTAGCCTGCTCAGTAAAAACCTGATTTATTCCAGGTTGAAGTCAGTGGAAGAACTTCAGTCAACATCATCACTGGAAGTTCGTTTGAAGTCCTGAGTATTATGTAAGGGTAGAAGTGAGGCAGGGTGGAAAAACAAACGCGCACAAAAAGGAGAGTGCGTAATACCAGCCTGTGGATCTCCACAGGGGCGAAAATGACCTTGTTTCTTCTATTTCCTATGTGAAGAAGGTATGGAATATTTTTCAGAGTCATTATGATGGCTTTTGTATTGGAAATTCAAGAACCGAATTTGGAAAGCTGGTGTAAATGATCAAATTGCAAAAATAAAATAATTTAAAAGAGAAGAGAGTTTTTGCGACAGGTTTTTTGAAGTCGTTCTCGTAATTTTAAGCAGTTACAAGAAGTCTTTTATCATTGCCCTTCTTTCTTCAAATAACCGTTTGATGTCAAAAACAAAGAAAACAAGATTTGACATGCTTGATAATTTGAAGTTAAAATGGAAGCTGGGTAATGAATAGAGACTGCCTAAATAAACCCTATATTAAGAAAAAAAATATTTTGTAATTTGCTTCTTCCACAAATGTTTTTCTGATGATCTGTCTGAGCTCACTGGATCATAAATGCCTGCTCACTTCTCACACACCTTTTTTTTGTTTTCTATTTTCACTGCAATTTCTTTGAAGTGCCTAGTCCCTTCAAAAACCACAGAGGAAGAGGGGAACTCATTTTATTACCTGCTTTCTATTGAGTGATGGCAGTGCAGGGAATAGAGATATGAAGGAAAGGTTAAATTTTCCACACTTCTGCATGTTAGGTGGTGCTGTTTTAGAGTGCGAACATGCTTTTTTGGCTAGCTTCCATTTTCAGATTTTATTTTTCCTCAAGGTCTTGGTGTATACAACATTAAACAGAATTCTTTGGACATTAAATAGAATCTTCTTGGGGCATCCTTGTTCAATATTATATTACCCGTGTGGGATATACTCTTATCGATTAACTGTATTTTGCGGGGGGAAAGGAAATAGGTATAAATCCAATATCCTTTTAATTTGCTCTCCCATGCTGCTTCTACAGGTCCTGTTGTTTTGCACAGAACTTGGCTGGCTGCAAATGAAGAGCTGGGGCAAAGCAAGGGCTTTACAAGCAAGAAACTAAGAATTGCTATCCCACATTTGCTTTCAGCTTGCCAGAAGCTGAAACTTTGTGTGATACAAGTCAAATAGTACTTTTTTATTACGTCCTTTCATCAAGTAATGGTTTGTTTGTCCCTGAGTGGAGTTGGGCAACCCGTTCGACTCTGGAGCAAAGATTGATGTCGTCTGTTTTTGTGTAGGAGTGAAAGGTGCTTTGGGCAGGAACAAAACGGTGGATGCGGCAGACAATTATATCTGGGCAGACTGGTCAATAGAAGCTTTAATACTGTCTTGCAATTTCATGAAATGGCATATATTTTTATTTATGTTTTTGTTTGTTTGTTTGTTGCTGTGGTTTGCAGAGGCATGCAGTAAATGATTTATGTGCTGTACTGATCCCCGGTGCTGGCAGAGCTGTAGCATAGAGCACTGACTGGGAAGCCCTAAGTTCTAGGCTGGCCTTGGATTCTTGACTGCAGATCCTCAGGAGGAGGGGTGAGTTACTGGAGGGGGCTGGTATGTGTGTCCGGACGGTGTGGTTGCCTCTCCTTCCTCATCTAGTTTGCTGGAAGCTGCACAAGGTCTAAGACGTTGCTTTTCGCCTTATTTTTCGAAAGTTGCTGATAAAAAGTAAATAAACCTAGTTAGAGCTTTTCTTTCTTTACACTGCTTCAAACCAGGCACAAATAGGTAGTATATTCAAAGGGCAATGGATTATATGTAAGCATTGATTTGATGCTGCAATCTTTGTTAGCAGAAAGGCCTGGTCTCCAGACTAAATCTGTTGTAAAACAAGACTTTATTAAGCTGCAGTGGAAGAAGAGCTGTAGAAAAGCTGCTGCTATTCTGTCAGTGAGTATCTTAAGTCCAGGTTTAAGGTTTTTGATAATTCTTCAGGTCCCTTTTGACTTGTATAGTTCTATTTGGAAGGAAGCAATCTTTAAATATTGAGAAAACTTTAAAAATAAAACCATGTTTTGGACAAAATACAGTAAAATAATGCAATGTGATAGTCTCTTAGGAACATAAATCTTGCCTTTAGCTTTTCTTGTCTTTGAGATTTAATGAGGCATCAGAAAGGTTGGGGTTTTTGTTTGTTTGCTTGTTTAGTTTTGTTCTTATTCTTTAGACGTTTAAAAAGCTATGTGAGAATGGAAGAAATGTATCAGCCAGTTACTAATTCTGTTATTAATGTTTGTATATTAGTGATAAAACTTAGAAGTAGTAAGCAAAGATGTAAGGCCAATTTTTAATCTTTGTCAAGAGGAGAACTGTTAGTTACAAGAAGCTGCACAAATATCTTGAATTTTGCCCATGGAAGTAAATAATGAAAAAGTGGACAATGACAAATTATTATAATGAATATGTATTTTTATTTTTTAGGCTGGTAAAACCCAGGGAATATCTTCAGGAAGTTCAGAATTGCAGAGTGAAAGTAGCTAAATAAACCCACGATTAACCACCAAAGCAGTACATCCCAAAATATGATAAAATACTATTTTTGTGCTTTGACAGAGTTGATGTCTTTTCCCCTACAAAGTCTGCACCATTAGTATCTGCCTTGCACGTTGCAGAATGCGCATATTTTTCATCCTGAAGAAGGGCAAAAGAGATCACATGAGACAGAAATTAATTTGTGTGTTAGTGTGCTGGTTTCTCTCAGATTATTACTTTCTCCAACTATTACAGAGACACAAAAGGAGCAAAATCTATCCCTTGGACAGAAATCAGTCCTCTTTTGCCCTCTGCACAGAGGAGTTCAGACAATCCACATGTTGCTGCCGTGGGAGTGCAGAGCAGCCATGGAGCTGATTTACTTGTCTCTGCTGCCTCTACCCAACATGAAGACACAGAGATGCCGGCCACAGACATCCTTTCTGTCAGCTATTTGCAGCCAGTATGGGCATATTCTTGGCTGTAAGCAACTTGAACAAATAATTCAGCTCTACACTTACATGCTCCCTTAGAGTTGGAGCAGAAAACAGGATCCCTATTTAGGGTTAGTTTCTCAGTTTTGTTGTGATCCTGCGTCCAGCTCTTCATGGGCTTCTCGTTGCCTGTAGTGAGCAGACACGTTACCACGTGCCAGCAGTTCCCCTAGGCCCTGGTAAAGGCCCTGGTAAAAGTAGCCAAGCGACTAATATTTCCATGAAGCTCCTACAGCAATCGGGGAGGCAGAGAGTGGAGCTGTCAGAACCACTTACTCTACTTGACAAGGCAGGTGGTGGAGAACAGTGGAATGGCTATCGTGAATAAAACATGTATCGAGAGCTGCGGCGTGGGAAACAGTATTCCCTTTTACCAGTAGGCTCAATGACAAATCTTCAGTTTGTGGACTGCAAAGCACAGTTTCAAGGTAATGTTTTTGATTCTTAATAAATATAATTTTTCTTCAATAAATTGCTTTTTGTGAAGCTCTAGCCAGAACCTAAAGAACACTTAAATGTTACAAGTCTTTTGGGATGCTGCCCTGGTTGGTTTAGTTACAAACTTCAGCTGAATGTAGAAATGCTTTAGGAGCTATGAACAATAGGGAAAGCCCTGTAACAACTATGTGATAAAATAATGTTACAGATGGTCGTCACATCAGCACGCGTGTTAGCTTGTGTTCATCTCCTGTCAAATATGAAAGGCTGGAAATTTAGAGAAAATT